AACTTTTTTTTTTTTTTTTTTCAGAGTAAAAGCTTAAAATTCAAGTGCTTGGAAAAGTTAGACTAAAAATCTTTTTAAACAGAAACTATCCATTTAGTACAAATAACTTTCCTACTGTGATAGGGTACACCAAGTGAGAACACATGAAGGAACAAATAGGAGAACCAAAGACAGTATTTAAATCACAATTAGCCCTATACTAACCACATACTCAACTGTACATGAAGTTACTTATTATGGGCAACCAAGCCTAAGAAGTTAAGCAAAAACCTGTGTAATGAACCAGATAGATTAATACTGTTGTTAGGTTCTGTCAAGTTGGTTCCAACTCAAACTGACCCTATGCACAACAGAACAAAACACTGCCCATTCCTGTGCCATCCTCACAATTGTTATGCTTGAGCCCACTGCTGCCGCCACTGTGTCAATTCATCTCATTGGGGTCTTCCTCTTTCTCCCTGACACTCCACTTTGCCAAACATAATGTGCTTCTCCAGGAACTGGTTCCTCTTGACTACATGTCCAAAATACCATCCTGACTTCTAAGGAGCATTCTGGTTGTACTTCTTCTAATACAAGACTTGTTTATTCTTCTGGCAATCCATGGTATTTTCAATATTTTTTGCAAACACCATAATCCAAATAAATTGATTCTTCTACAGCATTGTTTATTCATTGTCCAGTTTTCACATGCATTATGAGGCAAATGAAAATACCATGGCTTTGGCCAAGGCTCACTGTAGACATCAAACTGACATCTTTGCTCTTTAACACTTTAAAGAGATCTTCTACAGTAGATCTGCCCAGTGTAATAGATTGTTTGGTTTCTTGACTGCTGCTTCCATGAGTGTTGATTGTGGATCTAAACAAACTACCCTTTGACAACTTCAATCTATTCCCCAGTTATCATGATGCTATTTAATTGGTCCAGTTGTAAAGATTTTCATTTTCTTACATTGATGTGCATTTCAAATGTTGCAAGCCCTCTTCGCTTTCAGCAAGTAAGGTTGTGCCATCTGCATCTCAGGTTGTTAATGAATCATCTTCCAATCCTGATGCCACATTCTTTTTCATATAATCCAATTTCTCAGATCATTTGCTCAACATATAAATTCAATCAGTTGGTGAAAGGATACAATACTGGCACACACCTTTCTTGATTTAAAATTTTTCTGTTTCCCCGTGCTCTATTCAAATGACTGCCTCTTAGTCTATGTATAGATTAATATTACTCATCATAATTTGTGGATTTTTGTAAATGTTGGAAAAGATATTATCAATATACTTAGAAAAAAAATTAAGCATCAAGAAAAAGTTAACATTCCCATTTAATTCTGACTTACAACTCCTTGGCTTAGATGCAACCACATTTATTACATATGCTGTTGGTGTTATTGGTGGCTTTATAAAATCTGTATATATAGCCTTTATTCAACCAGTATATATATATATTCACATACTTTTTTAAAACACAAACAAAATAATGTACACTCTGTTTTCCAAACATAGTTTATTTTATTATAAAGGATCATCATTTACTGAAATTAACTCAACCCTGCTTCATAGGGTTTCAAACAGTTTTAACAGTAAGCAACAGATATGAAAGTAATGGCAATTTTATTATTGTACAATGGAAAGAGAAATCAAACTTAAGACTTGATAAAAAAAAAACAAAAGATTTATTTCTCATCTTGACACTGTTTCTTTTCACTAGCTTCTTCCATATCAAAGGTGAATGGTTTGTCATAACCCATTAGATGGTTATAGTCCTGAGGGTTTGGAAAGAGCACTGGATTAACTAATAATGATTTTGTTTTAGCATAAAATGTGGTGAATACATGTGTGCTTTCTGGAATCTTCACATCATTCTGGTGGAACACTGTACTTGTTTCTGAAAGCACAACATTGTAAGTAATGGCTTTGTAAGTGTCTGTCGTGGCCTCATGGTACAGTCGAACAACATAGCCTTTTGTCACAAAGTGAAGCAGTACTGGAGTGATCACTGTAAAGCTTCCTATGATGCCATAAAATAAGATCTGCAAAGGCAAACTTCCAAATACAATGTTACTTTGTGCAAAAATGTATGGTAGAGAAGCAAGACTGATGGCACTTGTAGAATAAGAGAAACACTTCACACCTAAATAGGAGGGAAAAAAAGGAGGGGTCAATACACATTCTATTAGAAAATCAATCTATCCTACTAGCTTTTCTAACTTTCTTACTAATTCATCAAAACAACAAAACCAAAACATACATACAGCACTTATTTCACACCAGGCTCTGCTTTAAACACTGTACAATTTTATTCATCAAAGAGTCTGATGTGGCCGATGTATACTCATTATTACCATTAAGTCCCAACTAATATATGAGAAAAATGAGGCACTCATTCGCCATGACATAGCAAGTGGCAGAGATAGGATTCAAGTCCCGACAATTTGGCCCTAGAGTCTATGATATCACCCATTACACTGGATTGCCTCTCCAGGTGATACACTGCTTGAGGGTTAAATGGTACCTAGTTCCTTTCCCCCATAATATTATTTAATATTATTCAGACCTTCATCAATACTAAAGCTGCTTCAGTCAGCAGACTATAAAATAAAACTTTCTATAAACAAGTAATTTCATATATGTAACATACAATAATCAAACATGGGGAATTCTATCAGGCTAAGATTCAACAACTGAAATGAGATCCCCCCCCCAAAAAAAAACAGCACCAATGGCTACAATATATATGAAAAAAGTATTTGGTTTCTTTAACAAAGAAGAACATTCTACTCAAACAGTGAAATATAACTTTTATCTATCACATTGTTGTTGTTAAGTGCTGTGAAGTCAATTCCAACTCACAGTGACCCTGTATATAGATTCTGAGGAGCAGGTGGTGGGTTTGAACTGCCAACCTTGTGGTTCACAGTTTAGTGCTGATCTAGCACATTAGAAAGATTAAAAATAAACAACTTAAAATGAACATTTTCCTTAGTTTTAACTTATAATTTTAACATGATCCCCCCCCCACAAAAAAAATCCATCTTTTTCTCATAAGCAAGTTGAGATACTAGACAAGTTAATTATAAAATTCATTTAGAACCAAAAAAAAGATGGGGGGGAGGTGAGAGAGAGCAACAAGGAGGTAGATGGCCCTCGAAAGTACTGTAACATAATATTGTTTTTG